TCTAGCCCCCGTATTCAGTCATTTTGATGGTTACTTAACCCAGTCCTTTTGATTTGGTAATTGAAAATACTGCGCTGTACTTGATTGCGCTCTGTAACGTGTTCATACCCTGACGTTGGTTGCCGCTTTTCGAATCCCATTCGCTTTGCTGTACGAACTTGCCTGTCTCTCAGAATCCCGTCTCGGAACGCAATTACCTAAGTATTTAAGCGTCTACACGTGGTAGTACTATAAAAAACGCATAATTCCGCTGCGCGCTCTCGACGTAAATTCGTATTAGACATTGGCCTATGACCCAGGGTTGCTAGACGTAAAATGCAAATTAAAAACATTTGTGGCAACAGTTGGCATTGAAGCCAAGAACTAGGAATAGAGGAGAAACAGGGACCTTACACTGTGTTATGAAAGTTGTCCAAGATATTGTTTTGCGCAATATTTGACTGGTTGTTTCTTGTGGCAACTTTTTATTGATTGAGAAAACCTGGAGTCGTGTCGTGTTCTCAGACAGACGAATACACTTAACAAGTACTCTAGAGGCAAAAACCTGTGACCTCGATCCTTTTTGGGGCGGAAAAATAAATTTTTCTGTTTGTCCAAATGGTATTAGTGTACTGTGTAAATGTAAGGGAACTAGTGCTAAGATAGTTTTGCAATTGCGCCATTCGTTCATCCTCACTAGGCTGTAGTAAATTGTTGCAGTGTTTGTGATTCCAAAAGTCATGAAAGATAAGTGACAATAAGGAAAGACCCGCAAGCTGCGCACTAATGCCAGCCCTACCCTTGACACTTGACATTACTCTATCAAGCACGATTGTGCCAAACACGCTCAACTCACTTATAAAAACTTTTTCCGTTGTGAACGGAAACCGTACAGTCGCGCAAATTTATTCGTCCGAACTCGGATCTCGTGGGCAGGCGTCTGTCTACCTACGTGCTGTAGTACGCTCCGACTTGAGACTTGTTACTTCGACCACCTGATGTACTAAACTGTATATATATATGAAACGTATACTTAACGCCAACTACAAGTGTTTATAACTTGCTAATGAGCTCAAAACGAGTTTTTGAAGCAAAACTGAGCGGAGCTTGGCAATCTGTCTCCTTAGCTCACTGCAGTCCAAAGGTCCAAGGCTGGACAGAACACACTCCGCTCTCGGTAAAAAAACACCATCATCCCTGTGCCGTATTAACTGTTAAATAATTTTACGCAATGAATAAAGGTCTGTAACGACAAAAACTCACAAAGAAGAGTCGACATATGTATAAATGAACAAAATGGATCTTTTAGAATAAAATCAAAAGTAGCATTATAACACTGAAATCTTCTTTGTACTTGAAGCTGTTGGCAGAAACACTTCTCCTGGTTATAATCTAATAGGAATATTAATCGCTCATATTGCAGCAGGTACCAAGCCATCAAAACAACAGGAGGTCTGCTGTAGCACAGTTTAGTATAAAGTGTTGGCCACGCATGCCTCGTTGACAAGTACTAATTTATAAGTAAGGAGGGACAGGGCAGCGTTTATCACATACAATATTCAGCAGCAAGGTATAAAGATACTGAGTACTTAATAAGTGTGTGCCGTCAGATCGGGCGACCGCCATCGATCCGAACCATAGCAACGGCAGCGTCGAAACAAGACACATTGCCTCTCCCAGCCTGCTCGCCTGCTCGCCTGCTCGCTGTACTACATACTACATACCTACCTACTTAGCTACTTACATAACTACTCTTTGCAAAAACTCATTTATGAAACGCAGTATCGTTTCGAATACTTGCTTAATTAACTATTCAGAGATAGGTACGTGTACGTACCGTGTGCTCTTTCCTTTTGTTGCCAACCCGACGTTTTGAATTTGTTTAATCCGATAAGTGTTCGCTTAGGTGTGCGATCGTGGGATCATTTCTATATCGGCAGCTGGGTCCGAGGTTCGAGTTGTTAAACTCTTTCATTTTTAATCAGTATTCAGAGTGACTATAACTCTACGGTACAGTAGAATTGATGAAATGCATAAAATATGTTAGCACACGATGACGAGACACGTCCTCACGTGGCAGCAGCGAATCGATGGAACCCAGGAGCCTAGGCTTGTATATCGCGTCCGGCCGCAGAGCTCACTCCCACACTCCCAGTTGTGTGCGGGCTGTGAGCACATAGCGCTGTACATACATACATAGGTAACTGTGTATAGTGTCGGTTGGCGTGACGCGGCCGGGTTCGTTTTTACGGGCGGCCGGTCACCTCCCAGTGCGTCTCCCTGTCACTTGTAGGACGAAACCTTTTCATAGCATCGCCCGACACCACTCAATGACATCCACGCATCCGCCCGACCTCGCACACTCCGACCACTAATTCGTGATGAACTCCTGAGCTGAGCCTGCTTCATATTTGCTCGGTAAACACATCGCTTGTGTGCGTTCTTAGGTAACGACGAATATCATTTTGTGCGGAGAGGCTAACTTCGGACATGTGCATACGAATTCTTGATGAACTAAAGAGGTTAACGGTACTTAGGCATAACGTTAACTTGAGTTCACAGCAAGCAACGTTCAGAAAAATACTTAATATTGTGGAATCTATGTGAACGACTCAGTCGGTCTGTGTACAAGTACATGGAGCGCAGTACAATAGAGCGTACAGCAGTATAGCGCACATAAATATGTATTCGTTATATCTACAGGAGGAAGTGTCCTCCCTCGGTGACGGTGACGTGTCGCGCGCGGACGACACAACTGCGTTGCAATTTAATTGTACACATTTCTACTTCTAAATACCTACACCGTTTTCAAAGCGGGTCAATAAGAGTTTGGAAACGAAGTTCAACTACACCTAGTTCCTCGTTTGCACTGTATAATAACCAGCCCAAGTTGAGCTGCTAGCAACGAGCGTCGAGATAAAGTACGTATAGATATAGTGTACTCGACTCGTACATAGGTCGTAGCTGTACGTAGTATAAGTAATGTTGTACGAGAGTACTGCACGCCTTTCGAGTTATCAGAACGCGCGGCATGTAGCTTAATCATCGAGTCAATATCTGCCGCGTTATCTGCACAGAAGTGGGTCGTTGACTGCGTTGCCTGGTCTCCCGTGCTGCAGCGCACTGCCCGCGAGCCGCGGCCGCTCACATACTGACTCTACTATTGAAACACTGCGCCGAGGTTCACACGTTACACGTCGCATTGTGTCTTGACCTTGCAGGTCACAGCATATTGAAATAAACAAATTTAAAACCTAAATGAAGTATTATTTCAGATTTCCATATAAGAGGAAACTGGAAATTGTAATGAAATGAAATAACATAACGTCTGCTTACGTAGGCGCTCTTTGAAACCCGGTGTAGTGGTCAGCATGTGAGAAATATACACTATGTCGTGAAGTTAGGTCGTGGTGAACAGACTGACAACCAATTTTATATTGATAGTTAATATGGCCACTGTGAAAGTTATGGATTGTGGCCCCATCCCGCAGATAGAACCAGCAAAAGCAGTCGCAAGTTGTGTGCGATATGTCCGGCGTCGGGCGATGTGCCACGAGCACGCCTGTCTCCTGGGCCGGGATCACGGCGCGGCCGCCATCGCGGCGAGGTATTCGAAGCGCGCCTGCCTCGTATCTCGCTTAACATGTATAAATACATTACCGACGCACCCCACCTGCCGCCACATTCTCAGATTCCACCCCTCTGCCGACACTGACAACCTAACAACCGCAATCACATTTTATACGTTTACGTATAAGTAAAGTAGACACGTCTGTTTTGTTTATACCCGTGTGCACGCTACACGCTACAGCTGTTGATATCGCCATAAATATACTTTTAATAACATGATTATACAATGAATTAGCTTTAACATTTCAATAATCAATTCATTTTAGTAAATAGCGGCCATAAATTGTAACGTAACGCAATACTAATATCGGCTACTATGTGTTTACTACATCAATTCCAATAATAAGTAAGTAGCGAGCTGGTAATAATTCAAGAGAACACTTTTATGAATGGAGCTCGCTGTGCGAGTGCGCCGGTTATGTTTATTACATGTGGCATAATGTCCGCCGCGACATGATCAGCTGATCTCAATATTCCAGTGGGCTTTGTGAATCACTTGCGAGACTATAACTCGCAATACAAACCTTTAGTTGGTCAGTCGCGATCGTTGCGAGTGTGCATGGGTCTGGGGCCTGGGAGGAATTTGCGTGAGAGTGATGTGAAAAATGTGCGTGACGAAAGACGTTAGGCCGCGGCTGCGCTGGCCGGCACGGCGCGGGTACATTTATCAAAGGAACGATGATCCGTCGCCACAAATCAGCTGAACAGACAGCACGGCCGCCTGTTTGATGCTTTACTACGATATAATAATATGGTGTGCTTTGTTTGAGTCCTTCATATTTAACCTTCCCTGCACCCTAATACGTATTTTAATTATAATTCTTTATACCTAGTAGGTATCATATGCATAATAAAGTAGTGCATACAAAATTATGAGCAAGATGGTTAGTAGCTATACTAAAAGTATATTTTTATTTTGAAAGAAGTCGATTAAATAGTAAATTGTTTCATATGGGCCCCCAATCGATTTATTCTTACATGTAGATTTTATCGGTTACATAGTTCATTCGATATTTTAGTCAGTACCATATCTCTAGTGAAACTTCAATTCAAATACCAAACGTCATCCACAAAAACCAAAAATCGCATAACGATAATAATTATAGGAATTAGGAATGAAAAGTCTAGCAAATTGTGTGCAACAGCAGGGTGTCGCATTCAGTATCGAGGTTAAGCAAAGAAAAGCATTTTATTTGAATTGATATTCCAAAAATATTATTCTCCGGAAAAACTGATGTTATGCTTGTAATCGAGTGGTGGTTCCTGAGTTTAATGTAGTCATTCAAACTTTAATTATGTCTTAAATATGCGAATGTTTAGTTCCATATAAATATTCAGTTTAAGGAAGAAGTAGGTGGTCTGCAGCTAAAAGGTATACTCGTATGTTTCAGGGAGGAGGGCGAAGAGAAGCCGAAGCCGACAGAGAACCAAGACGACGGGTACGAGACGAGTAATAGCGGCGAGGCGGCGCGTCGCAAGCCCTCCAGCGCTGAGGGCTCGCCGGCGCCGCCTGCCGAACCCTCGCCCCCGCCAGACCCACCCTACGAGCCGCTCATGCGGCACTACGAGCCCGAGCCGGAGCCCTACCGGCACTTCGAGCCGCCCGCGCCGCCTCCCCCGCAGCCCGAGCCACAGTACCAGCACTTTCCCTTCCCTAAGTATGGCGGAGACCCGTACGCGTTCAAGCGCGAGCCCGAGGTGCCGTACGACATGAGCCAGCACCACCAGTACGCGCCGGCGGGCAAGCGCGACGAGGACATGTACAACGGCATCAAGCGCGAGTGCGAGGACCCGTACTCCTTCGTGGAGGAGGAGGCCATGTGTGCCATGCTGGCGCAGCCGCAGCACCACGCCGTGCCGCCGCACCTGCAGCACCACGACCACCACGCGCACATGATGCACCCGCAGCAGATGATGCTCAACCAGCCCAAAAAGCGCGGCCGCAAGAAAAAGATCAAGGACGAAAACGGGTCAGTACTTCTATCTGTATGCCACGGTAGCTACCTCTGCCGCATATCTTTGCCAAAACACTACTTTGTTCCCTGTACTGAAGTCACAGGTAGTGGCTGCCGGAGGACACCGACGTAGTATAGTGTAGCACCAGCGCGCAGGGCACATGGCGGTGCAGCACGGTGACACAATTAGTGCGCGCGGCCGCTGACCCCGCCCGAATTAGCGATCCGCGCGCGTCCTACTTCCACAGCGGCGGAACCCGCGGTTGCGACCCACGCCTGAGCCCACCATGATATACGCTAATTCATAGCTAGCCTAGCTTATGTAAAACTTCTGCATGGTTACACATATCCGTGTTCCCATGCACTGTTGACAATTACACTCTGCTAAAACATTTTCCGAGTAGCCTCTGATAACGTTCGTTCCTAGTGAAGCCTGGTGTAGCGGCAAGTTAATTTCTTTAAAGGCATTATATCTAGTTTATTGCACAAGTTATAGAAACGCATCATCTCCGTTTATTCTGCGTAAAATTAGTGCCGCAGCTGAATGAGGCCACAACTGCTATCAAATAGATTTTTATAGCTCAAAATGAAACTAGCTGTGCAAATGACAAGTCAGTCGTGCGCACGCATCTTGAAATGTCGATGTGAAGAGAGCGCGCGGCGCGGGGGTCGGCAGATAGCGGCGACAACACGGCGGCAATTAGCGCGTGTTGTGTTGTGGAGCCGCGCGGGCAGGACACAGCGCCCGCGCGCGTGCGCGCACGCCGCCGATGTGTTTACGTCGCGGGAGTATTTCGGTACCGGAACCGATGCCGCACTATCGCTAGCCAAAAATCCGAGCGAAATAATCAGATCAAGGTAGAATCGTTGAAACGGAAAGCTGACGAATCTCGCTTTCCATCCGAATTTATTTGTTTAGGGGCGCGGGGCGAGCAACCGATTGTTCACAAAGATGGCGCATCATTGATTCGATATGAAACAATATCACATCAGTAGCCATCGCTTCGGAGTGGGTAGTTACAGTAGCTATACGAACACTTTATTGAATAGCAGCTGTAAGCTGGAAAAAATCCGTTACAAACATAGCCGATAGCAAAAGCCGCACCATTGCAACAAAGCTCCTAGAAAGTAAAATACGATTGAAAAACGAAAGAAAAACATGAATGAGCCAGACAGTGAGGCAATACTTTCACGGCACAAAATAATGTAAATGTGTCGCGCGCTGTTACTGCACTTTGTTGTGCGCACAATGGTGTCTGCCGGCACTCCTTGTCACCTGTCGCCGGCGCGGAGCTACTCCACGTAGTGCGTACTGCTGCAGGCACTGTTTACATCTAGACTCAGCCTGTCACGAGGTGTTAATTACTTATAATTATATGAGCGCTGCACATGACGTTATTCCCCGTCGTCCCCAATACCAGTTGTATGTTATTCATGAGTCTTAAAGTGAAGACTAACCTATTGATAAACACGGGGACAATCCCACGCTTTGTTCCTGTTAAGATTTTTGAAATAAAAATCTCAGTAAGTAATACTCTGTTCCACCTGGCAGCGGCAGTGGCACTGGTATGGTCTATGGTAGGATGTTTGTTATTCTAATTATGTTTTATGTTTTCGGCTTACTCACGTTGAGGTGTCGGGTGTAAAGGAAACAATAATTAATTAGGATACACGTGTTTAATAGATGAAGTCTAGATTACGACTAATACATTCTTAGATCACTACACTACACCTTCCCCGCAAAATAAAAAAAAAAAAAATGGTTATACAATTATTTTTTTTTTTGTTCTTTTTTTTATGTTATATATTAATTATATTTTAATGATTATAAGACATAGGAATGCATAACATAAGATGATTGATTACATTTCATAATAATCTCTAAAATGATACATGATCTTTATTATAATAACAATACAATACCTCACACATACCATACCATATTAAGGAAGTTCTTACAAAGTACAGTCGACTACATCAATACATTATACACTATAGTAATGAAAGTATATACTTTAACAATAATACGGTCTGGTTCTATTTTTATGAACCACAATTTGCTTTGAATTTTTCTCGATTTTTACATTCGGCGCTATATCCTCTACAACAGTATAAGGTCCAGAGTACAAATTATCTAATTTAGAACAATTTTCATTTTTCAATAACACAAGATCTTCCTTTTTGTAGATAACTGGGTTGATATTTTTATCATACAATAATTTCCTATGTTGTTTACTTGCAATTAAATTATTTTTAGCATCTTGATGAGCTCTTTGTAATCTGAATTTTAGTTCCAAGGGATAACTATCGAAATTATACAGTTTATTAACATCTGAAGTTAGACTATTAGGTAAAGTACACACATGACCAAAAACAAGCTCATAAGGAGTATACTTAGTTTCTGAATGTACTGTTATATTATAAGAAAATTGCCAGTATGGTAGCCAATGACTCCACGACCTTGAATTATTTCTGCAATGAATTCTGAGATAATTCCCTAAACTTTTGTGTGCATTCTCAAGGGCGCCAATACTCTGGTGGTGATACGCAGCAGCAAATCTCTGTTCTATATTTAAAAGCTTGCTTACCTCTTTCATTGTGGATGATATAAACTCTGCCCCTTTATCTGATGCAATAGTTTTGGGTATACCATACCTTAGTATAAAATGCTGCACAAATGCTCTCGCCACACTCTCGGCAGACTTCGATGTCATAGGGGCAGCAATTAAGTATTTGGTTAACTCACATTGCATTGTTAGAATGTAAGCATAACCGTCATCGTCTTTTTCTAAAGGACCTACTACATCCAAAAATATTTTATCAAAGGAACTAGATGACGTTGTTGTAATTGAAAGTGGTTCCTTAATATGTCTGAAATATTTATTTCTCTGACACGCATCACATTTATTTATAAAGTCCAATACATCTTTTTCCATACCTGGCCAGTAATAGTACTTTTTTATATTGTTTAATGTTCTCCTTATCCCTGCATGGCCGCTTGTCGGCAATAAGTGAAAATCATTAATAATAATCCTCCTAGTGTCTTTATTTTCTATTCTATTTACGTCGTTTATTACACAAATTCTAGGTCCCTTCCATTTGTCATTGTTACTTATTTCTCCGACAATAATTTCAATTAATTTTTTATTTTGTTGATTTTTCCTTATCACAAGTTCAATAATTCGATATTCTTTACAAAAATATTCCAATTCTTTTAACAATTCGCCTCGCGTCAATGTTAATAAAGAATTTGGATTAACATAAATAGTTAAATCTGTAGGAACGTAATAAAAAACCTCATTATTTGATTTATAATAACTTTTTCTCATTTTCATCTTATTTAGAGTCATTTTATCTATAAGTGTAATTTCAACGTCGTTGTCAGTCTTTTTGAGTATTTCAACTATATTCGGCTGACTTGGTGACAATTCGTTTGTCGCGCTCTTATCCACTTTGTGGTCATTATTGTTACTTTTTAAAATTGATTTTGCTTTAGATCGCGTCATAACTGTTATACAATCATTGTTAATAGTTTTTAGCTCGTCAGACGTTATAATTATACGAGATAGTGCATCCGCTGCCGCATTATCCTTCCCTCTTACAAATTCTATATCAAAGTCATATTCTTCAAGTACAAGTCGAAATTTCATAAGTCTACTACTAGGCTCTTTCATACCAAATAAATATATCAAAGGACGATGATCTGTTTGTATTTTGAATTTCCGACCAAACAAATAAGGACGAAAGTATTTTACTGACCATACAATAGCTAAAAGTTCTTTTTCAATAACTGGGTAGTTCTTTTCGGCTTTATTTAAAGTACGGCTTGCATAAGCGATTGGTCTACCATCACCATTACATAAAATAGACCCTATTGCATAGCCAGAAGCATCCGTTTTTAGAAGGAAAACATTATTTTTATCGAAAATGGGGTACTGCAGTAATGGAGATGATGTCAATTTTTCCTTTAGTGCCAAAAAAGAGTTTTTACATTCTTCAGACCACTTAAAAGTTACATTTTTGCGACAAAGATTATTCAATGGACAGGCTAATAGCGCAAAATCGGGTATAAATTTGCGATAGTAATTTGCAAAGGCGACAAACTTTTTGACCTCGTCGCAAGATTTTGGAACTGGATAATTTTGTAATACATACACTTTAGACGGGTCTGGTTTTAAACCTTCAGCGGATATAACGTGGCCCAAATATAAAATTTCTTTTTTTAGAAAATCACATTTGCCTGGATTCAACTTAAGATTTACTTTTCGTAATGTAAGCATTATGTCAATGAGATTTTTGTTATGTGAAGCCAAACTGCGTCCAAAACAAATTAAGTCATCTAGATAGACAAGACATTGTTCATGATGCAGACCAGACATTGCCACTGTCATGGCCCTTGAAAAAGAACTCGGACTTGTTTTCAAACCCATGGGAAGTCTAGTCATTTGGTATTGTCCTGAAGGGGTTACGAATGCCGTGCATGGTCTACTTTCTTTTGTTAGTCCCAATTGAAAATAACCCTTATAAAGGTCAAGATGGCTAAAATAGATTGATCCTGATAGTGCGTCAAGAATATCAGTGATATTGGGCAGAGGAAATTTGTCGTCTAAAATACAATTATTAAGTTTGCGAAAATCTATAACAAGTCTCATTTTCTTAGAGCCATCCGTATTCTCCTTTTTTGGGACCAGTAAAATCGGACTAGCCCATTCACTGCTACATGGTTCAATAATTTCATCCTTTAACATATCGCTTATTTGTCGATCTAACTCCTCTCGCTGTGAGAACGGTAAACGATAAGGCTTAGTATATATAGGGTACGTACCCTGTTTCAACCGTATCTTTTGCTCTTTGATATTGGCAACCTCTAATTTGTCGCCAGAAATATGAAAAACGTCTGAAAATTTAGCGCATATATTAAGTATTGAAGATTTTTCCTCGTCATTTAAATGATCTAATTTTAGTTGATTTAATAACATTTTTACCCTATCTACTGTTATTGTAGACCTTTCAAAGTTACATATCTCATAATCACGTAGCTTTTCTAATTTAGGATCAAAATAATTCAAAGATATTTCTTGTTCACTAGTATTTAGAATTTGAATTGGAATTTTACCATCTACTGGTTTTCCAATACCACCAGCTAAATATATTCCTTCACCTAACTCCTCTGGGATTACTACACAATCTTCAACTGCGGTAGTATTAATGTAAAAAACTTTTTCACATCTTGGTGGTACCTTTAAAGGAATATTGTGATTTAATTGGCCCAAATGTAATGGTAAGGATGTATTTTCGAGTATAGTTAAGGTATTAAGTTCATAATTTAAGATACATCTATGCTTAGTAAGAAAATCTTGGCCTAATATACCTTCAGCGAAACATGGTAGATTTTTAATAACATAAAAATTATGCTCAAATATATTGTCTTTTAAAAATAGTTTTAAGCACACATATCCTTCTGACTTTATACGACCCCCAATACCATTTATGATAATATTTTGTTTATGGATGGGTAAATTCCATTGAGCAACTGTCTCGCTTTTTACGGCTGATATACTGGCACCAGAATCTACTAACCAATTATAAGTTACGTTGTTATAGGGGATTTTGACATAATTACTAAATTCACATGACAGTAAATTAGGCACGAAAAAACATATTCGTATTGTTTTCCGCAGTAGAGGATTGAATATCGTCTTTAGTAGATATTTCATTAACTTCTAAAAGATCTGCATTTAAAGGGTACATACCTCGATTTTGGTATCTTCCTCTCTGCCCCCTGTATGTACTACGACCACGGTTGTTATTATTACCTGACTGTCGCTGCCACCCTTGATTGTAATAGCCTCGGGGAGCTCGCTGATAGTTTCCCCGGGTGCCTCTCCCGTGATAATACGATGAATTTCTGAAAAAACGGCTCTGTGTATTTGACTCACCAGGTTTTTCGTTGTTAACCATCATTATTTCGCCTTCCGTTGAATTCGCAATGCCTTTACCTATTTGTTCTTCGTCTTTTGCCGCACGTATGACGTCTTTAAGAGTAGTATAATTTCGTGCTGCTAAGATCACACATAAATTTTTGTTACGTAAACCATTTATAAATCTATTAATAGCTAACTTTTCGTTGACCGATTTTAGAATGGCAAAAGCTTGTGTATTGCCATCGGCCTGAGCAATAGTTAGGTCAACGAACAGTTGTTCTATTTTCTTTCCGAATTCATCAATGCTACTTAGTTTCTGTTCACAATTAACCATTTCTGCGTGAACAGCATTACTAGATTTTTTAGTTAATAAATGTAAACGCATTTCTTTAAGTAGTTCATCACAGGAGGAATAACTTTGTTGTAAACGTAGTTTCGCACTATCGAAAGACGGGTCTTCAATACAAAATTAATTAACAACTGTTCGTCATCCTTTTCTATCATAGAGGAATAAAGTTCAATTGCCGAAATAAGACTCTTTGTAATTTTTTCGTCAGAATTCATTACAGGTAATAGAGCTACCGCCGTTTTTAATTGGAATTTTTCCATTTTGACAATTTTCTTTTGCGTGTCACTACAGCAAAGTTGTATTATACGAGCATATAAACTACTAATATCCGTACATAGGTTCTGAATTGTCTCTAAATCACTGCTCGTAAAGTCCTTCCTTTTAATTTGTTTATCTAAATTTGATTTCACAATTAAAAAATTATCATGTATAATATTAGTCTCATTCAGTTTTTTCTCGATAATGTTTTGAGTTCTACGACTTGGCCCTAACTTAGTTAAATACTCCTTTATACTTTTAAAATTTTCATAAATGTCTTTAAGACGATGGGCCATTACCTTTTAAATTACACAAATGGAAATGCACTTCAATATTATTGCAACGCGAACATAATAATAAACCAGGCGTAACAGTCTTACACTAGTAACTTATTGTCTTTATACGAGAGTAAAAGTTTATATTATTGATATCGACTGTATCAGAAAAACTTTTCCTAATCTTGCACAAACACAATTCACTTGTACTCATTTATGAGCAATCGATTTCACCATACTCGCGCACAACACTACATTTACACTTCGCCAACCTTGTATGAAACTTCAGCGGTATTCTGAGCACCTCTCGCCCTAGTCGTTCCTCGACGTAGAGAATGTCGTAATATCTCCTGCCGCATAAGATGTCTTTGACACTTTCTATATAGTATCAGCAGTACGTAGCAAGCACCTCCACAAATAAACATGGCCACAATCATAAGAAGTATTATACTCGTAGTACTTGCATGGCTCATAAACTGGGTAATATCAGCATTATTCGATCTGCCAGCATTTTGTGCGATCACTATCAGCTCTTCCTTAGAAATGGTCTTCCCCATTATTGTAAATTAAAAAATTCGGTGTTTGACTGTGAAACCGGTGTAACGCCCCGTAAACAGGCGCCGCGATGAACAATAATTGTCGACTATTCGTCATCCTTGAAACTTTCTACAGCTTACTTGGAGAGTTCCTAATACTGGTTCCTTTTATGGGCAACGGAATGTAAATAATCGCGCGTACCCGAGTCGCGCCTCTGGCAGGGTCGCCATGAGGTGTCGGGTGTAAAGGAAACAATAATTAATTAGGATACACGTGTTTAATAGATGAAGTCTAGATTACGACTAATACATTCTTAGATCACTACACTACAACGTAACTGTTTGACGAGGAACTCGACTAGTTTCAAGCCATACAAGAGTCTACATGAGTAGCATTCCGCGACACACGACTCGGCAACTGTCGCGCTGCTAATTTAGTATGTCCTTGATTAATGGTACTTAATTATAAAATATGCAGCTTTTCCGGAAATACGGTATTGGCAATAACATTATTATTTCACTTGCGTCTCACTGTAAAATGGGTCGTTAAAATTTTCGAGGTAAAAGGAAAATTATCTTCTTCAATCTGCCGCTAATCGCCAGCGGGCAACCTGCCTGCTGTACTGTCACACTCAATAATATAAAAAGCATAAAGGAAAGGAAGTCGGTTATTATTGAATTTTGTTACTATCTAATGGGACCTCGTTGGAGGAATCTTCAGCTCTTGGTGCACTTATGATATTTACCAGTGACAGTACTATCTCGTTGAAATGACAATTTCTTATATGAAACTTAATGATCGTCATTTGAATTATAATCCCTGCGTAACATTGCAAGCCCGCCTAGCGGAGTCAACTTCATGTGGTGAGTGGCAACTCTTACAACTTTTCTCACATGTCATTCAATATTCAAATGAATTAATTTCCCTTCATTTGTGCATAGTTGGGTAAGTGCGGTGCTAAGGCGTGTAGTGACCGCAGTGTTTGTGCTTGTGTGGCAGCATGGAGCTGAAGGCGGAGCCCGGCATGGAGGGCGCGCTGGTGCCGCGGCCCGTCAAGGAGCGCAAGAAGCACGACCGCTTCAACGGCATGAGCGAGGAGGAGGTCTCGCGCCGCACTCTGCCAGACCACCTCGCGGAGAACCTCGACATCATCATTGTGAGTATGATCGCCGTTTACATCTCTCATTATTTAGTAGAATGCTATTATCTTGCAAACCAATACTTAGGACATTAGGCTGCTTAATGGCCTTTATGTACTAGTAGATGAAATAATTGCGATGTCACAGTCAATATTATGAAATGTACACCTAGGTGACTAGGTGTCACAAAATACATCATTGGTGATTGATGTATTTTGCGTACCAACAGTAAACTAGTATATTTGTGACGATTGAATGTGCGATGAGAACAAAAGTCACGCATGTGGGTATTTATTCTTGCAATATAAATGATGCTTCATTAGTTAGTAGAATATACTAGCATTATGACCATAATATCTACAAATGCGTATGTATGACAGATCGGCATCAACCCGGGACTGTTCGCGGCGTACAAGGGACACCACTACGCGGGCCCAGGGAACCACTTCTGGAAGTGTCTGTACCTATCCGGCCTCACACGGGAACAGATGAGCGCTGACGAAGACTACAAGGTGAGTACCAACGTGCCACCATCCCTGCAGCCTGCAGAGCGAGCAGGGCCCGCTGAGACGTACGCGTGTGTTGCAGCTGCTGAACTTCGGCATCGGCTTCACGAACATGGTGGCGCGGCCGACCAAGGGCAGCGCGGACCTCACGCGGCGCGAGATCAAGGAGGGCTCCGCCATCCTGCTGGAGAAGCTGCAGACGTTCCGGCCCAAGGTGGCAGTCTTCAACGGCAAGCTCATCTACGAGGTGTTCTCCGGGAAGAAGGACTTCTGCTTCGGCAAGCAGCCCGACACCATCGCCGGGACTAACACCGTGAGTGCGCTAGTAGACAGGCGGCCCGGCGCTGGCCGCGGGGCCGCCGCGTGACCGCTGACTTGTCGCAGTACATGTGGGTGATGCCGTCGTCGTCGGCGCGCTGCGCGCAGCTGCCGCGCGCGGCCGACAAGGTGCCGTTCTACGCGGCGCTGAAGAAGTTCCGCGACTACCTCAACGGGCTGGTGGCGCACGTGGACGAGGCCGAGCTCGTCTTCCCCGACAACACCAGTCGCCGCCCGCAGGAGGAGATGGAGATCCGACGGTATGTCCTGTCTCACTCTCTCCCTACTGCGGCGCTACTTCGGGCGCCGGCTCTGTACGTGTCTCGTCTATATGTGGTCCGCTTGTGTCGAGTGAATATACTCATCGGTTGACGTCGCCTTGTGCCTCGCCCGCAGGCTGCAGAGCTACGGTAATGTATTTACCTTCGATCATGTTCTCTTCTCTATGTTGCTCTTCATCATGGTTTAATATCGTTGCCAACGGGATAACATACATCATGTGGAAACTTGCTTCTTTTTCTTTCATATGCTTTACTCGTAATTGTTCTGCTTTCCTAACCCTGTCAGGATCGCCTGCAAACTCTAAATCCTAAATCTCTCTTCTAATATGAGACGACTCGAGTTGACACTTAGCTTGAATCGCCGTATGTAGTTGAAAACTGTTTAGATGAAAAAAAGGCTACTCGTGCGGAGACAACAGGGACATGTTCTGTTTCATTGTATTGGTAAAATACACTCGTGTCTTACTAGGTTACCAGACTCTAATACGAATGGCAAGGACTAATGGCAACTAGTTGGGTAGTCTACAACAACACGGTCCATCAGAGCACCATACTAATGAGAATAAAAATATTCTTACGAATATTATTGTAGGGTTGACTAGATACCCTCCAATATTATTCGTAAGAATATTTTATGGTTGTCCAGTTTTCAGATTCAGTGTATTTTACTGTTAGTTTATTCGAGCGTGAGTTCGTTTGGTATAGTGAGAAGTGATTCGCTTGTCTGTCGATATTGTCTTCACAAAGTTGCAAAAGCTTGAATATTATTTGTTGGTAGTTTTAACTTGACTGCCGCAGTGACTTTTTTGCCATAATAACAATAATTTACTTATTACCTTTCTAGGAAAGTAGGCACTAATGTTGTCGTTAACTTTTTCCTTAGTTATATTCAGGAAATATACTATTCGTTAGTACCTAATCTTGATTGTCCTTAAAGTCCAAAAATTTTCTGTACACTGCACTTGTCTTCTGTGCGTACATTGTACACTGTCCCGTTGTAGTGTACAGTCCAGTTCTGTCTGGTACAGGTCTGCGGTGCTTGTGTGCTCGTTCGTACATGGTGTCCTTAGTCAATGAGATCAATTCTCACCAAACTGGAGCAAACGTTTGTCTGTTGTGGTCTTACTGTGCTTTGTTTACTATAGTTGATGATACAGTAACGAGTAGTGATGGATAATGTATGCTGTAGTGCTGACGCCCCGTAGTACAAAGTGCGACACCCGAGTGAGTGTGTGAGTGTACCTCTGTTACTGACCGGTAGCTGTCGCCACCTCCCGATTGTTACAAGATGTGTAGTTTGTACTCATTGAACTTAGCCCATTTATTTCAAATTCTTCGATTGTTTCAGCCAAGCCAGCAGGTAATATAACTCGCTGCCAAAGCATAACTTTTGATAGATTTGCGTAAAGAACTCGAGTTCTTCACGGTCGACCGGTAGACATATAGACACACGACGCGAGCCACGTAGTACGAGCCGCAATGGTAACTAGGCAGGGTGGGGAGCGGGGCCCCGCCGCCTCACTGCTGTACTGCGCCGCCGCCGCGCTGCTGTCTGCTGGCGCTGCGTAGTGTCTTGTATACGTGGCCGAGTTTGGTCCTAGTCAAACGTTTCGTACACAATACGGTGTCAGATGACCGCCACAGACAGTAGCGCGGAGGCGAGCGAGGCGAGGCTAGGACGTAGGGCGGTAGGGCAGTAGAGTAAGCGCACGACAGACGTCGCAGTGAGCGCGCCACGTTGCAGACTGACGATGGAGCCGGAGCCGGGCGACACCATCATCCTGGAGGACGGGACCGAGGTGCCGCTGAAGAAGAAGCGAGGCCGGCCCAAGAAGGTCAAGCTGGAGAACGGCGAGGTGGCGCCCGCCGCGCCCCGCCAGCCGCGCGCGCCGCGCCCGCCGCCCTCGCTGGAGCCGCACGACCAGCCGCCCAAGAAGAAGCGCGGCCGGCCCAAGAAGATCCGCCCCGACGACCAGTTCCTGCTGCAGCACCCGGCGCCGCCGCTGCAGGCGCTGCACTCGCACGACGCGCCCTACCTGGCCGCCGGCGACTTCCCCGCCCAGCTCCCGTCGCCGGGCCTGCTGTACCCGCACCAGCACCACCAGCAGCACCAGCAGCTCGCGCCCGACTCCAACAACTACTTCCAGCAGCAGCCGCCCAACTCAGGTCTGTAGCTCTATCGGTGCAACGATCGTTTTGTAAAGGTTTTCTTTTACGTAAATATTCAAAACATAATGTTGCCCTCGTGACAGAGAGCGGTCTGGGCGGTATGGAGTCGTCCGGGCTGGACGTGGGCGGGGGCGGCGGGGGCGGCGGCGGGGGCATGCTGGGCGGCATGGCGCGCGGGTACGGGTCGCCGGGCGGGTACGCGGCGTCCCCGCGCGGCGTGTACGCCAGCCCGCGCTCGCAGGGCTACTCGCCCAGCCCCGCGCGCCCCGCCGGCACCCCGCAACCGCAGGTACTACCCGACTTTGTAGCGCTCACTCCAGTCAAGGTTTCCTACTTGAAACTATCTTATTACTTTTATATTGTTTCTCCTTTTAATGCTCTTCTTAATAATCTTCTTGACTTGATTCCGCGCAATATATAGCGGGTTCGATGCCCGCACGAAGCAATTCTTTGTGTGATACAAAAATTGTTGTCACAGGTTTGGGTGTGATTGTGTATGTCAACTTGTATGTTTGTAAATGCACGACACAAGAGAAAATGCTAGGGTGGGGAAAAGGTTTCTTTAAAAAAATTACGATTATCATTATACACATCCAAACCTGTAAGTAAAATACATATACATAGAATTGTAAAGTGTTAACATGTACACGACGTATAGGAGTCTGGCGTGATGCACGGGTTCCCCGCGAGCCCCGCTTTCTCGGCCGTGTCCCCGCCGCGCGCGGGCTCCGGCGGCGGGTACTCGTCCCCCGCCGCGCGCGCCGCGCCCTTCTCCGCGCGCTCCCCGCTGTACGCGCACAGCCCCGCGCCCTACGCGCACCAGCAGGCACAGGTACGCCCCGACACCGCGCGCCCGCAGCCGCCCTGGCGCGCACGTACTAACACGCCGTGTGCCCCGCAGAGTCCGGCCCCGCAGGCGCGCTTCTCGCAGTCCCCGCACCCGCACCACCCGCACCCGTACTCACACTCACCCGCGCCACAGGTCAGTGCCAACTACTTGTACATATTGTTTGATTGAATTACCCAGTAGAAAATAATAATTGTTCATTGTAAATTATATTAAAGTATTCCAATTGAATGTGTGTATTCAGTCGCAGGGTCGTCCGTTCTCGCGGTCGCCGGCGCCGGTGGGCGGGGTGGGCGGAGTGGGCGGGGTGGGCACGACCCCGTTCCCGCAGGCGTCCCCCGCGGGCGCGCTGCACAGCTACACGCCCAGCCCGGCGCACACGCCGTACTCGCAGCACTCGTCGCCCGCGCCCAGCCGCACGCCCACCTACACCGAGCCGCACCACTACCCGGGCGGCGCCGGCGCGGCCGCGGGCGCGGGGCCCGCCGGCTTCGGCGGCGAGCTGTCGCACGAGATCGGCGCCGCCATCTCGTCGCCCGCGCCCGTGTCGCCCGGCATGGCGGCGCTCGACTTCGAGCCGCCGCGCGACGAGCCCGAGCGCGACCACAGCCCGATGGGTAGCACCGACATGCACCCCGGGTCCAACTCCAACTCGTCGCTGTCCGACTACAACAAGGTGAGTGGCGCGGCGGGCGCGCGCAGCCCCGCGCCGCCGCGCTACAGCGCCGTGTGCCCGCAGACGTCGGCGGGCAGCGACATGTCGCCGGCCGGCGCCGGCTTCGCCGCGCTCTACGACGACGCGCGCCTGCAGTACGCGCACCTGCACACGCACAGCCCCGCGCCCGACAAGCAGGACCACTACTACCGCCAGGACCAGGGTACGTACCGCCCCCGCCGGCCCGCGCCGCCCGCGCCGCCCGCGCCGCCCGCGCCGCCCGCGCCGCCCGCGCCGCCCGCGCCCTCTAACCCCGCCGTGTGCTGTCCAGGTGGCGGCGTGGCAGACAGCCCCCGGTTAGACCAGTTGCAGCAGCACCCTTCGTCCATGTACCCCAGTAATTACAATAGGTGAGTTGACAATTTATTGTACTCTTTTAATAAACGACCACACTAAGATTTTCTCCTGTATCGTGGGTGCGTTTACTAACATTCAATTTTACATATCCACAATTAAATAAGTTGACAAAATACATCTTATAGTCGTTTAACGACCTCGTGGCTTTTGTGGATGACGTTTGGTTTTTGACTTGAAGTTTCACTAGAGATATGGTGCTGAGAAAATCACACAAAATGAAACGATTTAATATGTTCAAAATTAAAATATGCAGACCTTTTTAGTAGCTACTAACCATCTTGCTCATAATTACGTGTGCACTACTTTATTTATTAAGCATATTATACACGTGATAAAAAAAATGCTGCAGATTTTAAAAAATGAACTTCAATAAATTATCATGTAAAATAGTATTTTAATATTATTCGAAAATTTTCTGACCGATTTTAAATTCATCATAGATTATCGAAACAATTTATACGATATTATTGTGTCAGACTCTAATCAAGGTTCCATCCCAGCATGCATCAACCTCTGTAATATTGTTAATGTGAATATTTTACAATTTTAATGTTTGTATTTTTTACGGTTAAATATAAACCGAAATTATATGTTTTAAATTGAAATCTAAATATTTTTTTGTCAATTCAAGTTAGTTATTACTAATATTTATTTATATTTTTTCTACAAAATAAAACCGTCGTGAAATGAATGACATCATTATGAGAAACTGTCACACAATGTCATCGTAAACCAATGAGAGAACAAAGCAACTATAGTTCCTTACAGTTCTGATTTTTTAATTTAAGTTATTGTCATAACTGACAAAACGTGCCATAGACTAGTAGAGCAAGAAGTCATCATTAACATTGGATACGAACGTGTACAGGTCGAGTCCCCCGGGCGGCGAGGGCGCGTTCTCCCCGCTGGGCGCCGCCTTCCGCCCCCCCTCGCACCCGCACCCCGCGCACACGCCGCACGACGCGCCAGGTACCGACGCGCCGCACAGGTTGAAGGAAGGCATGTATTGGTACTACGATAATGATGATGCCTCAGGTTCCCCGGGCGAGTACGCGGGCACGGTGAAGCCGAAGGCGCAGGACGTGGCGTCCAAGTCCCTGTCGGGGCTGGAGTCGCTGGTAGACCAGATCCCCAGCATCGCCGAGGGCCCCGGCGGCGCGAGCGCGGGCGGCGCGGGCCCCGCGGCCCCGGCGCCGTCCGACCAGGCCCCGGCCGCCGTGGCCGCGCTGCCCGACTACGCGCCCGCGCTCTACCCGCCCTACGGCGCGTACGGCGGAGCTGCATACGGGAACAACGGGTTAGTCAACGCTTCCTTGTCCTGTTGCTTGTCTTGCCCTTAAAAATAAATTAATAGAAATTTAATGTTTTGTTATTAGTTTGGGTTATCAACTTTTGTACGATCGTATAATACAATATTGCGACTGTGAACGGTCGTATCATATTCTTCTTTCTTTGTATTCTAAATATTTAGTTCAGTAAAATTAAATACAGTGAAACATCAAGGGACCTGCAAATTAATATACTTATAAAGGTATTCCACTAACCCAGTATCTCAGATTACCAGGTATAAATAACATTTGTCTCATTTACAGAGGGTTCAATTAATTGAGGTGAGAATACAGGTTATTTTAGACAAAGAAGTGTGTTGCTTAAATAACACAATGTGTTATGTGAACATTAAACAATGAGTTGGAACCTCAGTATGAGTTGCAGTTGTGGAGGTTTCTCACTTATCCAGATGTCACTTTACCATGTTTCACTGTATATTTACATGATCTTAATTATTCAAATGCATTTGAAACCTACTCGTTTTGAGCAATTGAGTGGCTGGCAGTGAGTGACGAGTGCGGACGATCGTTGCAGGTACGGCGGCCCGTTCGTGGGGTACGGCGGCGGCTGGGGCACGGCCGTGATGCGGCCCACGCCCGGGTACCTGTCGGAGTGGCAGTACGGGTACCCGGCGGGCGTGGCGGCGGGGTACGCGCCCTACAACGCGCCGTACTACAACGGGTACGCCGGGCCGCCGCCCGCGCACCACCAGCAGGTGAGTGGCCGCCGGGCCGGGGCCGGGGCGGCCGCGGCCGGGCGGACGTTACGATCCGATCCGTTGCAGGCGCACTACCTGTCGGCGCCGCCGCTGATCGACCTGCACAAGAACGGCGAGCACTCGGGCGGCGTGCCGGCCGTGCCGTCCGTGCCGTCCGTGCCGTCCGTCGGCTTCGGCGGCTTCTGTTAGTGTACATAGACTATCTCACTGCGGGGAACGAGTACTTCCTAGAGTAAGTAGTAAATTGGACTGAGTATCGAGGCGAGGGAAATGTTTTGTAAAGCAATCGTTAGTGATGTAATTTAATCTTTTTCAACTGAGGAGCTTAATTTGTAGGATTTATTTGTAAATATTGTATGTATTTTTATTTCGGTCCATCACATGTTACTTTAACCGATCGCTAGTTGATGACAGTGCCGCTCTGTTGGTCGTCGTTTAGTTTAGTAGGGCACGTCTGTGATGTGACTGGGAGGCGGGGGCGTGCGACAATATCGTACTTAATGTATTCGGAATGTCTGTGATCTTCAGTGATGTCTAACTAATAATTATGGCCATCGTTATTGCCATACTGAAAAGTAACTAGTGTTCGGAATTAGCGGCCGCGTGCTCGTAATACGAAGTCTTGCCAATGATGTGTTTCGCGTTCTAGTCACTTACTAATTCGTGTCGGCTAGTCAAATTGATGTCGTGTACCCTCGCCGCACTCTCTCGCTCCCAACCGATTGCTCCAACAAATATTGTATCTAAGTCACAACAACGGCCTATGAGATAAATAATGTATACCTTTATTTAGAATTTAATTTACTCTATTTATAATTCAAGTTTAGCATTTGATAACTATATTTTTATAGTCGCAGGAGGCGGCCATTTTATTGTAAGCGGTCTTTGACCTTTACCAGTGCACAAACGGGGCGTGCCTCGGACGCCGTGCATTTTACACAACGTTACCCGAACAGTTACATTAGCTTCGGATCGCTAGTGAATAGCATAATTTTACATAATGTTGTAACTTATATTTTACTACAGACGCGCCATTGTGGTTGGGCGGTAGGGTTACTTTAACGTTAACGCGATGCATAATGTTTACATAGGGTGCTGATGGGTTCGATAGTTTCCTTACGTGACGCGAGTACTTGCGTCCGAGTCTTTATACTATGTTGTTGAAGTTTTACTTTGTTTTCACGGTGTATTAGGTATCGGGTCGTGTAGAGTAGGTATATAGGTCCTGCATAGTCCTGTACAGTCTGTGGGACCCCAGGCGAGTCGTCCGTGCACTGTACAATGTACATAACGAGGGGAGGGTACGTCGGGAAGGTAAACAATCTTGTACAAAATTTTAAATTAGTAAAACTCTTTCCTTTGCACAAAATGATGAAGTCTTAAAGTCTTAAATATAAGCTAAAAACGAAATAACATACGTAATAAAGACATATACGTTAATGATAGGTTTACTCGGAAGAATTTATATATAGTTAGTGGATGGGTAGTTGGACAGTCACCGGAGGCAGGTCTCTGCGGCATGTGACGTCACTATGCACATGATCTCCATTACGTTCTGGTCTGGCTTAGGATTAGGTTTACGTACGACCTCGTACACCACCACTATTGCAATGCGTTTTTTTATATTATTATTTTTTCGTATTTCAAAAGGGGAAACATGATTATTTAAAAATGAAATCAACAGGGTATTTAAGATTGCTTAAGATATATTATTTTACATATATTTATTGTGACTTGCGGACGATGCGCGGTTGCGGCGCATCGTGTTTAGTGTTACTGATGTTTGTTTAGTTGTGGTCGCGCGGGGAACTGTTCACAATAACAACGCCTTGTACATAATGAGTGCTTTATTACGCTTTTTTGATATTATTATATTTTTATTTAAAAAATAATTATTACAATAACACTATTTCTATATTTTTGCTTTTATTTTGTACATTAACGATCATGTATGTGATTGGAAGGTTCTGTTTGCGTCCTGTTTCCGGGTACTGTTGGCACTAATGCGGTGACGTCACGTCTCGGCATTACTCTCACGGATACTCCGATGGACGCTAGCGCGACGCGGACAGCGCCGCGGCCGGCGCCACGTCGGCGCGCAGGTCGCCGCCGACCTGCGCGCCGACGTCCCGCGACCGACACTCGGATACGATCTGTGATCTGTTTTAAGGGATACTCTAGTACTTAAATCAGTTTTTATAAATCTCATTTTTTTTTCACAATCGCTAGTAATTTGTATAGATTTTATCTAAAATGTCACTAGTCGTGGCGCTTCCGCTGTGAACGAAATAAAGGCCTACTCGCTGCCACTGGTGGGCGCAGACGCCGGGCCCGGTACTGGGCGCTACTAGGCAGTAACTCGTCCGAGTAGTCGGTCCGTGCGTTCTGCGCGTCACTTGTATTTCTAAGTTTTCTTGTCTCGAATAAGACTTATCGGCCAATATTCCTTCCTGCAACAGAGTGCAATGTCGGGAGATTAATGTTCTGTCTCGTAATCATTATCTGTATTGTTATTATTATATTTTCATTTACATTGTAGTTGTCGTGTATTATAGTGTCGTTAAGGGCCGCTTGCACTTAACCGTTCGGCTGACACGAGTGACTTTCGACTTTCCTATCAGGTGCATAAAGATTAGATTTGTACGATAGCATAGAGGCGAGCGGTGAGGTCGGTCGTGCTGGACTAAACTGTAGCGTAATATAATAAGTCTCTATCAACGAGTTAGTGTTAGTGTTGTACTCAGCGCGGCGGCGCCGGCGGGCAAGCACGGGCACTCTGCACGGGCACCCTGCCCGGACACGCACGGGCACTCTGCACGGGCACCCTGCCCGGGCACGCACGGGCACTCTGCACGGGCACCCTGCCCGGGCACGCACCGGTCGCCCGGGCCGGCCCGCGGCGCCGCTCTCGCTGCCTCTTATCTGAGTAGTGGTTAGGGTTGACCAGTGTATGCATTGAGTCGCTCAACTATTTGTACAATATGTATATTTTTGTAAAATTCACTCTAACTCGAGGCAATATTTTAAAATTTATCTATAATATTAAAAATTAGTACAATTCATTGTTATACAGCTACGTGTCTCGTTGGGTTCGCTCAGCACGTGCTGTAGAGAGCATCCTGCCAGTGGGCGCCTATAGTTGCACGACTCACGAGCTCGCACTGCCGTCGCCTGGGTAGTAGGTTCGCGCCCCGGCGCCGCTTGGTTGTGAATAGTATCGCTTACCCACTCCGTCTGCTGTCGTCGCGTTCATCCGTTGCTTCACTCAGTATTGTCGTGCCAAAACATACGTAAATGCAGGAGTAACAAAGCAATATCGTAACTAGATAGTCTCGAACGAAAGCAATAATATCTGGGCGAGTGGACGCTGCACTTGACTCTGTACTTCGCCTCTGTAATGAAATTATATTTTGAAACGTCGCGTCACTTGCAGTAGTTTGGTACAAATAGCATTTATCGTTGGTGGCACAGCCCCCGCACCACTCACCCGTCAACTTGGATGAACTTTATTTATTTAAGCGGAGTGAGTACTTCGTGCTGCGTATTGCGGCCGCTCGGTGTCTGCTGCGGGGGCACGGCACCGACCAGAAGGCGGAGGTCTTATCCTAGCTCAATTTTATTAATTATTATATTATACTTGCTTGTTATTCATCGTTGAAATATAGTTATTTTGAACCTTGGCTGCCTCGTGGCTCCATTTTACTAAACCGTTGAAAATTATAAGTACATAGAAATAAATGTTATCGCATATCATAGTGGTCTCGTAATCCCAGTGTGAAGACAGCCAAGGGTTTGTTCCAGAAGCCTGCATTACTCAAACAACTCGCATTTGATTACGGTGCTTGTTTATCATAGTCGTGCGAGGCGAGGCGACGGCGGCCGACGTTTGGTTGCACTCGTTTCGTCAATTATTTACTGTGAGAGGCGCGCGCCGCCTCGCCTCGCATTATAAAGTACAATTTACCTTAACCTGTGTCGTATGACGTATTATTGACGAATGTTTCCAGTATTGTGACTGTTGAGCGATGTCGCATGTTCACATCTGATCGTGATTGGTTCGTGTGTCCGTTTATAATATTTACGCTAGCGGTAACACTAAAGTTGATATGTTTGTACAGTTTTTAACGATACAACTACTTCTCGTAGTGACTAAGCAAGAAATATTTTTAGTATATTAAGATCTAATCGAATTACATCATAGTGTAACATAATAAATATTCGAGGTCGATTTATCAAAATTTCGTTAAACTTTGTATGGTCCTTCGGAATATTTGGTTAAATTGCATTATGATAACTCTCATCTGAAACTGACTCCGTGGAATGTAATTAGAGTTTAAACAGGAAGAATTTTAAATATTGAAATACAACATTTAATAAATAAGTAATGTATTATAAATAGTTTTAAGGTAAAAAGTTATTATTAACATTGTATGGAAAAATTGTGACAAAAATTATAGTCATTTGTAATATTACAGTGTTGTTTCATTGACTTGTTGCCTGTGTTCAATGTTTATGTTACCTTCTCAATTGTTCCTATAAGGAGGTGTCCATTATTGTAATAAAATGAAGTGAACCGTTTTTGATATTTTTTGGCCTCTGAAACTTTTTATTCTCTGGTGAGTTTTGATTCAATTCCTTCCCCATCTCCCAATCCCAAGTAATTTTTTATTTTATAAAATGTAAGTTAACAAACAGTTATGTACCATCAACTGCTGTGATCAGTGTAACCAACAAGAAGTCAGGATTGACAATATCACACTGAACGAAATTATGTATGTTGTATGTAATTTGTATTGTAATATGAAGCGACGCTTTTTGCTGTGTTGGTCGTGTCGGCCAGAGTAAAGGTAAACACGAAGCTATTAACATTGGTAACGCAAAATATAACTTAAGTTTTAATTACTCATTTCCTCATACTTGCACTTCAATAAAATTAAAATTTATGAGAGGCATTAGCACACGCATCACCTCATGGTAAGTGATCAGCGTCGCCCATAGACACCCGTAACATCACCAAAGTTACGGCGTTCAGACTTTCAACTATCCAAGTTCTGCTGCTGCAGAATTTTCTTAGATTACTTACATCAGTCGACAAAGTAACAAGTTAGTGATATGATGTGATAACTAAGGACCAGTATGTTACTATTTGTTAAAACTAATTGAACATATTTCTTAACATTCGTGTAGGT